GATCAGGCAGCACATGGGGACCGAAGCTTGGTGTTATCAGCACCACGCTCTAACTGACTGAGCTAACACCGGCACCCTACAGTGACCATTTAAAAGGAAAATTAGAACAAAAATTGAAAAGAATCTGATTTACTACAGTGAGTCGTTTCTTTTAAATAGATTTGACTTACACATCTTGACTTATTCCCATGGTATAGAACTCTCCTATCTTATCGTAACAATTGCCAATATATTTCTTACTAAATACCATCTGTGTTTGCTTTTTCTAGGCCTGTGGACTCACAGAAAGAGACATTGCTACAATTAAATTACTTAATGAAACTAGAGATATGCTAGAAAGGTATAGAGAAATGTCCTGTATTTATATTAAACTCACAACTATTGTTTATGTAAGACCTTTAATTTAATATAAAAAGCTGTTGACTTTCACTTGCAAAATGTGACCTCTCTGCTCCATTAAATTTTTATATTCATGAATTGTAGGCTGGGATTTTCAAAATTTGAGAGCTGTGAAGCTCATTTATAAGAAATAATCCTGCCTTAATGAGATCACCAGGATGTCCCTTCCCGTCAGACCCCCCTATCTCTTTCTCACCTTTTCTGTAGTTAGGCAGGAACAGAGTGCTTCTCTTCTGCTCAAGTAGGGTAAACTGAGTGTAATTCTATTGGATTTACTTGCTTTGATAAAATGAACACCAGTTTTGGCTTATCAGAATTTATTTTTAATGTGTGGTTTTGAGAGTGGCTGTATGCTTCCTTTTACCACAGAGCTACTGCAGTGTGGATTCTACAATAGACCCTGAATTTCAGGGAATTGAACCAAATGCCAAACTATTCTTGTAGTACAGCTTTACAGATCTGAGGCATTTTAAAGATAAGTCCTGTCTGTGTTATTACTTGGTAAGAAAGAGAAGTGAGGAATGCTTTATCTTTATTTGGGTAGAGTTTAGGTTGTTGATGAGCTAGTGGTGAAGTTACTGGGGAGCTACTCTTTCTTGAGGTGGCCATACTCACAGCCTTTTGTCTGGGTCGTATGTCTTCCCTTGTGGGAGGGACATCTGTAGTGCTGAATACATGCAGGGTATTTTAATTGGAAAAAAATAAATTCCAGAAGTCAAACCATTATTTTCTTTTTTATTTTCCCCAGTCCAGACTTCAGTACGGTTTTGAGCACATGTTTAAATAGAGGATTCAGTCGACTGCTGGACAATATGGCAGAGTTTTTTAGACCTACTGAACAGGACCTCTCCCAGAATGGCTCTGTAAATAGGTAAATGGTTTCTTTTGTTGTGGTTCTCATGTCAATAATGCTTTGGGGTTCATGGTGAATTCCAGAAGAGGCCACTGATTTTCCTGCTTCCTTGAAGTTCTCGTGCTGGAAATAATTCTGCTTCTTGCTCTTCAAGAATAAATAAAGTTTCCTCACTTCAGTGCAGCAGACCCCTAGGAGCATTGCATGTTTCTTCCCACCCATGACATCACTAGAATTTACATGAGGTATCATTCCCACCATTTCCTGCAGACCTAAAAGTAGAAATTGGAAGCCCTATACCTTCCTAGAGGGTGGTAAGACACTGGAAGAGGTTGGCCAGGGAGGTTGTGGCTGCTCCATCCCTGGAGGTGTTCAAGGCCAGGCTGGGTGGGGCACAGAGTGGTCGGATCTAGTGGGAGATGTCCCTGCCATGGTGGGAGTTTGGAACTCGATGATGTTTGAGGTCCCTTCCAACCCAAATCACTCTATGATTCCTCTTTTTCCCTGAATGCTGTACAAGCAGACTGCCTGTCTAGGTAAGGAGGATGTACCCCACTGCTGGTGGTGACCACCGAAAGCTGAACTGCAGAACCTCCCTGCCAGCCATGAGAAAGGAGCCCGGTCCTTGCAGGCAGCTCCCCCATTTGGTGATGGTTAGGGCAGTTCTAGAGGAGGTGGGCAGCGTTACCATGATTCTCCGAATTCATGTAGCCAAAGCACCTGCGGAGCTTTAGGTTCATTGCTGGTACACTGAAAAAAAGATACCAGTGTTCAGGATCTACCTCTTCCTAGAAGACTGTTCAAAAATAGCTTTTTCTCTGACAGTAACTTTGGGTTTACATAGTGCGGTCAGAGTGTTACGAATAAAAAAGCTGAGTTCAGATCCCTGAAATTTGATTTCCAAAATACTAAAATTAAAACCCTGAAGAGTAACTGGGTTTATGTATGTTTATTTTAACAACTGATGGCTGTCAAAGAGTAATGTTTTTATTTAAATATATACTTTTTATATCACTTAAAATATCCCAGTGCAGTTGTAGTATTATGTAGTTTGGCTAGCTGTCCTAAGCCCGGCTTAGAGTTTGAAGTAGCATGAGATTTTAGACCAGCACTTCTCACAACTGTTCACATAGACACATGTGTAAAGGCTCTGGCTAAACTGTATTTCTTCTGCATGAGAAGCAAGCGTGAAACTGTGTGTAATTGCAACAACCACTGAAATTTGCTTTGGTACTTCTCTATATTAAATTGGAGACTTGGTAGGGGAGAAAAACTTCAGCTGCACATTTTAGTTTGAAAACTTCCAATTCTTTTGTAAAAGTAATTATCTACAGTTGTAATAATCATAGTTTAGTGACTTTACTACTGTCAGAGCAGGTCTAAGTTAATAGTTTTTGTCCTCTTCTAGTCTTTCCAGTGTCAGTCTTCCTTTAGCCAAGATAATTCCAATAATAAATGGACAGATCCATTCAGTATGCAGTGAAACACCCAGTCACTTTGTTCAGGTAAGAATCTCCTTTATTTAAAATATCCTAAGTAAAGATTTGAAATGAATGTTGTATATTTCTTCTTAAGAATGTACTTCATTCTGTTTAATTTCAAAGGCTTTAAAAAAAAAGAAGAAAAAAAAGTAGAAAAAATTGGCATAACTTAAACTTTTTGTAAACTTGCATCTTCCAAACCCAGGCTGTTTCTCTAGAACCAATTCCCTCTGCTAAACTGTGCGGAAGCACAAAAGGGTCTCTTGCCTTGGTTCTCTTTGCAGTTCTGCTCACAGACCTTTCTAGAGAAAGTTTTACATCTTGTTGGGAGCACCAGGTGTTTTTCTCATAGTGAATTATGAACCACTGCAACACCAGAACAGTGGTGGATGTGTTTGATTAAGCAAATTTATCTTTTAAATTTCTTCCAGGACCTGTTGATGATGGAACAAGTGAAAGATTTTGCTGCTAATGTTTATGAAGCTTTTAGTACCCCTCAGCAACTAGAGAAATGAACTGCACATTTATAGGACTAGACCATGTATTTATAACAAATCCCTTGTGACTGCTGATGAGACTTGGGTTAATTTTATAATGGTGTAGGAGCGGTAGACCAGCAGAAAGAACACTCTGAAAAAAGTGGGAGTGAGCCCATATTTGTTCTGATAGAATTCTGTTTTCAAGCACCCATTAAAAATACTCTTGTTGAAAGAATCATTGTATGTAAAGACTTTTCTATGTTAGAAGTGCTTAACTCTTTCATAATTCATTTGATTATTTTTATGACAGCTGGTGGCAGTATTACAAGTTATGAAAACACCCATTTGTTTGCCTGGGGTGTAACTTTTGGAAAAAATTAATGATAGTTATCTCAGAACAGCACAGGGTAGCAGAATGAAGTGAGGCTTTTTTTTTTTTTCCCTTTCAGATTTTTCTTCTTAGAAAGGAATACTCCTTTTATTTCCTTAACTTTAAAAATATTATTATTCCAAAGAGTCTCTCATTCTCCAGACAGCCTTTGCCAACTGATGCACGTTCCTCTTGAACTGATGTGGGGGAGCGCTCTGTTACTTAATACTAAAGGAATGTGGATTTTTAGAAGTTCTCTCGTTTATGCTGTTCCAACAGCTACACTGTACACATTAACTTGTAAATATTTTATCTTAATTTGTATTAATTTTGAGCCCAATTGTCTGCATTGTAATAAAAATATTTTAATGTAACATTTGTGCGTGTATTAACATTACTAGCAGGACAGGCAATAACTTCATGTGGCCAAGCCCTTAAAATCTTACACAGTAATAGTTTTATGCTTCTTAACATTACTCGGGAAATACAAACCTTTGGTCTCTACACTGAACCAAGTCAGGCTTTTTGTTGTCCTGTACCTCCCCTGCTCTGCAAACTTCACCCTGCAGGTCTGCTCTCCCTACCCAGCCTGACACACGATGAGTTTGGGAAATTCTCAAGTTGGACATAACCTACTTTCTGCTTAAAATTTGACTCTGCCAACGCTGAGAATCCCTAGCAACTCCTGATTATTTTTCTTTGTTTTAAAACAGTTAGTTATGGAAGGCTATGTTCCAAAGAAGGCACCTTGGTAACTGTATAAAAACAATGGCTGTAAACAAGCACCAGCTTTAACCATGTAAAATTATATGAAACAGCAAAAAACACCCCTCCCACTTTACTTGTATCCCAATAATGGATTGAATTACTCAAGAGTAGGAACATTTAAAATTAATGACTTAATCATGATGACAAATGAAGATGCACATAGGCACTGCCTCCACATGTGACAAATTTCTAACCCTTACAGGACTGTTCTTGCAGATCCATTGCCCTGCTTGGCTTACACTACCAGCTGTCTGTTGCATACAACTGGAACACATTCATTCTTTTCTCCAAAACTGACAGTTTTTACTGTACAGTTTTGTGGAACTTACATTTCTCGCATTCAAGAAGGTATACATCTGACTGACTGGTGTGCACTTCAAGGCTGGCTTGAGCTAGCTTTGTTCTTTCTCACAGCTTTTACAGTCTAATGTCTATTTGTTTGGATTTTTGTCCTGGCAAGAAAGTGACTGAAAAAAAATGCAGAGAAAACAAGGTAGATGCTCAGATTTTTCACAAAATTTCAAAGAAACAAACTGAACACAGTGCTTCAGCCATGTAGTGCGAGGCTTCAGGTGAGGCTGATTCCATCCCAGCCTTTAACAGCTCACCTTTCATAAAAAAAGTGACCTCGTTGATGGCTCTCAGTCAAGCAAGTGAGAGCTGGAAACCAGTGATCAGAAACTCGGCAAAACTCCCACATTCCCAAGGCTCCAGCAGTGCATGGCTCAGTTTATGCCGGTCAGCTGTAAAGTCCAGCCCCACTGACAAGGCATTTGCTGAGGAGTTAATTGAGGTAGAGCTATAATGATTCCCTTTTCTCCCAGTGCAACCCATTTCAGCAGTTCTTTGTAGCCAACCAGCTTGACCTGAGATAGAAACATAGTCCATCATCAGAACATTGCCTTCACGAAGTGCCTGTAATTGCAATATTGACAAAATACAATCCAGTTATGCTTAAATGCCACCTACCAGCCAAATGAATGGTAATTATTAAACATAATGGAAATACACTTGCTAAGTAGGTGTGTAAGTAATAAAGCTAGTAATGGTGGGTCTTGAGGAGTACTTAGGCCTGTATGTAACAGGCACCTAAACATTTTGGGGAAGTATTTGAGACGGGATTTGGGTCTAAGCAGGGTTCTAGGTGTCACAGCACACAGCTTTGTATCACCTGTTTCTGAAATGTCTGTTTCCTGTGGTGGAACATGTAGGCTTGAATGAGCATTACTGTTTCTTACAGAGCACAGCCAGTATCTCAAACAAAGCTGACCTGAAGAACCTCTCCACTAAACACACACAAACAGGTTTTATGGTAAGAAAGACTTTTACAGCAGCTGGTGAAATGCTGAAAAATAGTGGAGCAGCTGAAGACTAGTCTCTACTGCCGAGATGCCTACATCACTTCTGGAATTACCTTCTTCATTCTCACAGAGCTCTCTTGGCACTAGTTAGATTAATTTCATATGAAACTAGACTAGAAGAGGCAGTCCAGAAACACCCTTAATGCATTTCAGCAGCTACTGGACATCCAACACAGGAGACCAGAACAGAGCTAAGCCAAACTGAATCGTCACCTTAAATGCAGTGTTGATACCAAGCCCTAAGCACCAGCTGTTCTGTTCCCACTGGGTTACAGTACTTGCTGGTGTAGGTGCGGCACCGGTGTCCTCAACTTCTGACCATCCCTTGCTGCAAGACATGCACCTAGGGTCACGCTGACTATTTAGCCTCCCTGGGCAACAAGAACCTCTTTGTGTGCTTGCCATTTGTGCAAGGCTTTGACCTGAAACTCCTGCACCATGACAGCAATTACAGTATCACCAAAGTCACAGGGATGGTCTATTGATAAAGGAGGGTCGTGCTGAGTTAGAGCCTACACAGGAGACAGGACGGGCAGCACAGGTTTTTTCCCAGCTGTCTGGCCTCTTCTTATGATCCTCAGTTTACAACCTAAAACATATCCCAGCAACAATTCTGTCTGACTTTGTTTGCTGGAGAACAAACATCCCACTGAGAAGACTACGACAAGGAGCCCCCAGAATGAAAGCAAACATTTTACTGGGTTTCTTCCAACATACTCTGTCGTAAGAGCTACAGATTCCCAAAGATGCCAGAAACGGAAAAAAAAACATGATGGAACATGACAAATCCTAGAGGGGATTTTCTTCAGAGTCTGTTCATTTCTTGCACCATGTGTTAAAAGCTTTGCTGTTCTAAACGGGAAGGTGAGGAGTGGGTGTGTGGGGAGGGGTGTGTTTTACCTGTGTTTCTCCAAGCTTAGCCTGTGGCTCACCGAGTTCCAGAGTCCCAGAGATAGGCCAGTTAAGGAAGATAGCATTGACTCTGCCTTCTCTAGGGCTGAAAGTATACCTGGTTGGAAACGGGGAACAGAAATGCATGTCAGTTTTTCCTTGTAAATTTCCCGAAGTGATTATATAGAGTGTTTTCAAGACAGGAAAACTTCGCTTGAAAAGGCAGCCGTAATTACATTTTCACATACATAACCATCTATTCAGACAATTTATTCCCTTTCTGTACTGTTCCTTGAAAATAATATTCCAACTACAGGTAAAGGAGACTGTAAAAGAACTGGATTCAGAGGTGAACATCTGTAGTAACTTTAGGAAGCATATAATGACTCTGCTACTCAGCCATATAGGAAGAAGGTATTGGCAGGGCAGGGGGAAATCATTAACAGGTAATTTTTACTTATAATCAGAAAAATACAGTAATTCATATCTATACACAAACATACAGACATTAACAATTAACAAAAGTATGTGCAACACTAAAGCTTCCACCTTGCATAGGTAGTCGGGGTTGGTTTTTTTCAATTAATTTCAACAGACATTATCTACAGTATGTCTTTGCAAATCTTGTGGCATACACGTGAAACATCCCTCCCTCCTTCCTTCATTTACCTACAGATTTTTATTACTCTTGGGAGTGGTTTTACTAAACAGTTCAGCACTTCAAGGCTAAAGCCAGTCAGTCAAATATTACTGGGAACAGGAGTCAAAAGGCCCACTGAGGCAGAGAAGACGGTCAAGACCAAACGCGTGGTGGATCACTGAGGCATTACAGCTGCTATGAGGCACAAAGGCAGAGGAAAGTCCAGAGACTGGCTGAACATAGGCACCAAACAATTGCTGTTAACTTCCCATGCATTTTTACCTTTAAAAGAAACACAGAATATGCGGGCTTGCTTTTTAGTTTCTCTCTTGCCTCCTTCTCTCTAAACAGTGACATCGAATCTTCCTTTACAGATAAACACTTCATAGCAGTTTTGTATTTCTGGATTTATATTGGGGTTTTTACAGTTTCTGTTCCCAGTTACAATAAGAAGCACAAGATCTCTAAGGAAACGCTTGCAACCTTCCCTTTGGCCTCAGCACCATCCCAAAACTATGCTCTCTGAAGCTCATCACCTACCTACAGTTTTAAACACGCTTTTATGTGCAGTTACTTAAACTTCTTCACAATGTCAGAACTACGCTCGTGATTTCTGTGGCATCAAGTCTTTAAGACTTAATTTCTAAGCTTCGCCTGCACCACTGCTTCTTTACACAGCCGACGTTTTGGCTTTACAGCCTTACCACACGTCTGGCACGGCCGTGTCGTTCTGCACTCTCCAAGGCTTCGTTCCGTAGATGGCTTCTCCGTTGACTCTCAGCCAGGCACCCACCTGCCTCAGGCGTTCCTCAAACACAACAGCGATGCGACCGTCATGAGTGGGCCCAATGTTCATCAAGAGATTTCCTCCACAAGACACTGTTTCTACAAGTTGCTGAAATGTTTTTAAACACATACACTGAGCATATGGCTACGGCTAATGAAATCATACATTTGAAGTACTTTCTAAATCTGCCACGCTGCTTCAGAGCGATGAACTGAACGAGTTATGTTACTGCTGCATGTTTAGACTTTGGGGGTGATCGCAACATTCAAGCCAAAAATTAATTTCCCATGAAACACAGCTCTGCCATCAATTTTTATGGCAGGAAACAGCTCAAAATACATTTTTTTTTTGCACCAATACGTCTGCCTGAATCTACATTAGAGTCAGATCCTGCAACCTTTTAACGTTTCAACTTCTGCAGGAATTTCATGAGGGTTTTACAAATGAACAGATAAATGATTTCTCTACGTGAGAGGAGGATAAGGCTATAGGTGCCACTTCATTTCTACTCAAACCAAGAGAAGCAACTTCCTTCTTCCTCTGTTTGATGCTCTCCCTATGTTGAAGAG